TGAATTTTAAGTTGAAATCTTTTGAATTTTCACTTTCATTTTTTAAAGTATGTTTATGTCTCTTCAAAATACTTAAATATTTTTGAAATTAATGGACTTTGTTTAAAGTTTTAGACTTAACAGAAAATTTATGCAAAATGGTATAGTGTTCTCATACATTCCCCTCACCTCCTTTTTCCCTATGATTAATAGTTTACAATGGTATGGTACATTTGCTAAAATTAACGAACCAATATTTTCACATTATTATTAAATAAAGACCATAGTTTATTCAGATTTCTTTAGTTTTTACCTAATATTCTTTTTCTGTTTCAGATGTCATATTTCAAATATGACATTTCTCCTTAGGTCCCTCAAGACTTTGTTTTTAATGACCTTAACAGTTCTGAGGAGTATTGGTCAGATATACTGTTGGATTTTTCAACTCTTGGAATTTGTCTTATGTTTTTCTCATGATTAGGCTGTGGTTTCAGGTTTTAGGGAAGATATATTTGATATTTTAATACCAACTACTTAAAGTGTTTTCTTCTTTTCTGGACCCCTTTCCCAGTGTTCACCTAAGTAATATTCTAATAATACTTTTTAGGTGTGGATTTTACAGTACTTCTATCAGATTTACCTAGAAGATCCTTTTAAAAAAATCTAATTGTTATTATCAAAAAGATATTGTAAGTATTTGCAAGAGTGTGGAAAAAAGGGAACCCTGTGTATTTTTGGTGGGAATATAAATGAAGAACTAGCCCTTATGGAAAGCAGTATGGAGGTTTCTCAGAAAACAAAAGATAGAGTTACCATATGATCTAATAATCCCATTTCTGGGTATAAATCCAAAGGAATTGAAAACAGTATGCTGAAGAGTTGTTTGCTTGCTTGTGTTTATGGAAGCATTATTCACAATAACAAAGACATAGAAGCAACCCAGCTATCCATCATTGGATGAAATGGATAAAGAAAATGTGTATACACAATAGAGTGCTTGTTCAACCTTTAGAAAGAAGGAATTTATGTCATCCTCAGCAACATGGATGAACCTAGTGGATTTAATGCTTAGTGAAACAAGTCAGCACAGAAAGACGAATATCACATAAACTCATTTATACGAGGAATCTAAAAATGTTGAACCTAGAAATAAAGAGTAAATTGGTGTTTGCTCAGGCTGTGTGGAGATTGGAGGACTGAATGGGGAAAGGGGCAGTGTTGATTAAAAGATACAGAATTTCTTTTAGGAAGAATAGGTTTTCATAATCTATTGCACAGAATCGTAACAACAGTAATAATGCATTGTATATTTTAAAATTGCTAAAGTTAGGTATTAAATGTTTTACCACAAAAAATTTGTAAGTCTGTGAATGGATAGATTTGTTAAGTAGTGTAATTTAATTATCCCATAATGTAAAATCATGCCAATACATCACATTGTACTCCATAAATATATAATATATACAATTACTATTTGTTGATTAAAAATAAAAATAAATAATAATTTTAAAAAATGTGTCTAAAACATGGTTGTTTGGTTTGGGGGGACAAATGTGGTTAAAAGTTTTTTTCAGATTTTCTTATATTACTATAGCTGAAGTTATAAAGCTATGTTATTTTATGTGCACATATGACATTTATATATACTTTTATTTTTGTTGTTATAAATGTCCATAACATAAAATTTACCATTTTAATCGATTTTAAGTGTATTTATATTGTTGCAACTACATGTATCCTTTTCATTTATTAATCTGCTTGGAGATTAAATACCACTGACTGGGTGGCATAAACAAAAGAAACATTTCCTCACAGTTCTGAAGGAAGTTCAAGATCAAATTCTTGGCAGATTTTGTTTCTCCTGAGGCCTCTATCCTTGCACAGATAACCTTTTCTCTGTATATATGTGCCTGGGCTCTCTTGCAAGATACCAGTCATATTGTGTTAGGGCCTCATCTTTTTGACCTCATCTAATTTATTTACCTACTGAAATGCCTTTTCTTCAAATAGAGTCAAATTTGGGATTAGTCACATTAGTCAGTTTATAAACTAACACCTTTTGTAAAGGTACTTCAAATCCATTTCCTTGAGAATCTGCTATCTTTAGTATTAGTTTCCTGTGACTGCTCTAACAAATTATCACAAACTGAATGGTTTTAATAATAGAAATGGTTTCTCCCTCAGTTCTGAAATTATTATTACAGAACCAGAAGTCTGAAATCATTGTTACAGAGCCCAACTCATAGTGTTGGCATAGCTGTTCTTCACCTGGAGACTCTAGAGGAATGTCCATTCTTTGCTTCTTCCCGATCCTGGTGACTGCTGATATTCCTGGATGTGGCCACATTTTCAAATGTTTATGATCTGTCTTCTAATTGCCTTTTCCTCTCTGTGTAATCAAATTTCCCCTGCTGCCTCCCTTTTTAAGCATACATGTGATTATAACTAGGCCTACCCAGATGATCTAAAATAATCTCTCCATTTCAAATTCCCTAATCATGTTTCCTGTAGCACTCTTCCCCCCCCCCCCCCATTTTTCTCCTTATAAGGTAACATAATAGGTTCCAGGGATTAGGCTGTGGATAATATTTGTAGGGCCATTTACAGCTTGTTACACTCAGCAGTTTATATGGAGTTTTGTGGGTTTTTTAATGCTTTCACTTTGATTTTATAGTTTAGTTTAAAACAAGTAACAGTTCTGGCGTTGGTTGACAGGGACAATATTCTCATCTAGACATCATAGAAAATTCTAGCTCTGGTTTTCAGTATGTGATCCTCAAAATAGTATCACTTTAGGAACTTACTAGAAATGCAGATTCATGGGCTTCATGTAGACCTACCAAAGTAGAAACTTTGGGGGCAGACTGTAGCAATCTGAAATAAGCCCTTCAGGTAATTTTGATGGACACTAAAGTTTGAGAAGCACTTTTCTAAATTGATACTACAAGAACTATATTTGTCTTACTCTCTAACCTTCTTCTTCTTAAGGCTAATATTTAAATAAATCTAGTAATTCTGGTTCACAAACTCCATTTTTGTGCAGGGATAGAAGCATTTAGTCCCCAAGTCTTGGTATTGAAAAATCAATGAAATTAAATAATTCACTCAATAGAAGAGTGTGGTGGGTTAATTTATGTCAGTTGTATTTTACTTAAATGTGGTTATTTCATAAAGTAATTTTTTTTTTTTTTTTGTACCAGGGTTGAACCCAGGGATGCTTAACCATTGAGCCACATCCTCAATGATTTTTTTTTTTTTTTTGAGACAGGGTCTTGCTAAGTTGCTTAGGCCCTCTCTAAGTTGCTGAGGCTGGCTTTGGAGGAACCAAACTTGTGATCCTCTTGCCTCAGCCTCCTGAGCCGCTGGGATTACAGGCATATGCCACCATGTTTAGCTGTAAAGTAGCATTTTTACATCCAGAAGTGATAATGACTTTTTTCTCCAGTCCTCAAAGATGTGAATTTGACTCATTAGCCTGAATTTTACTTGGGTTATCTTCTACATACATTTTGAGATACAAGCAAAATTTGAATCTCTTATTTAGCCCACATTGTTTAGGCTTTCATCTGCCAGCCAGTGACAATGCTGAAACAAAATAAGTGAGTTCTTGTCCTCAATATGTTCATACTATGGTTTAGAAAATATACAAAGAAGCAGAAAGTGTTGACAGGCAGCTAGTTGCTACACCAGTTAGTTGCTACAGTAATTGAGAAAATGGATTTTTTAAAGCTGAAGGAATTAAAGAAGTATCTGCCAGGGTGACTGAGGTAAATATTGAAGGACTAATAAAACTGTTAAAACAAAGTTAAAGGGAGGTAGAAGGTAGATACAGGTAGATATTTGTAGTTTACCACGTGGAAGCAAAACTTAAAGCATAGGTACATGTTAGGATAACCATTATAAAGTGATCATTCATAGTTCTGGAAAGGACAAATTGAGATGATAGTAAGTTTGAAAATGGAAAAGTTAAGAGTAATTTAGGTTGACAGTTGGAAATAAATATGTTGGTGCCATTTTTTAAGAATATAGAATTGAAAATAATAAGTAGGTTTCAGGTAGAGCAGGAGATAAATAGAATTTAGGCAACAATATACTGAGTTTTTAGAATTTGTGAAATGTAATACAATAGGAATAGGTAGATTTTTGGTAAGTACATTTTCTGTGGATTTTGGGGGAAGAAGTCACTATAGTAGATTGAAGGTTAAATTGGGGAAGCAGAAGAATAACAATATATGTTATTTTCTGAATAATGGTTCTTAATGCTTCAATATTAGCTATTATGACGACTAAAAGTATATTCTTTTATGCCATGCCATACTTTCTTTTTTATCTCCAGCTTTTTTGTTGTGATTTTGTTATGTATAAGTATTATATAAATTCTGACCTTGAAGTATGTTTTATGAGGAAGCACACTCTCCCTATCCATGGATTCTGCATCCACCCATTCAACTAACCCTGAATCAAAATTGTTTTTGAAAGAAAACATTTCTATACTAAACATGTACATACTTTTTTTTCTTGTTGATCACTAAACAATATAATATGGCACCTATTTACACAGCATTTGCATTGTATTAGGTACTATATAATGTAGAGATGATTTAAAAATACAGAAGGATATGCGTAGGTTATATAGAAAGACTGCCATTTTCTATAAAGGACCTGGGCATCTGCAGATTTTGGTATCCTTAAGGGGTCTTGGAACCAAGTTCTCTGTAGAGAAATAACTACTGATTTTAACTATTATAATTGCCAAACTATTAATGAAAACAAGTTGTTACAGAAATTTTAAAAAAGAAAACTAGGAAATTTTTCATTGTGAATAGGTTATTGTTCCTCTAAAAAGGTATTTAGCAAGTTCCTGTTTTAGTTAACACTATGTTTTCAATGCTTTATCAAGAAAATAATTTTGTTTGCAGTTTTTAATTTAAAAGAATAGGGTATTGTAGATGTAGTTATTCATACCTGAAACAAATAAACAAAAAAATCCTAAATGATGGTTTTTACATGTATTTTTTCAGATTGGATTTAATTTCGGATGAGATTGTTCTTGCAGCAAGATGTTAATAAGACAAAATCTAGGTAAGTAGAAGACTACTTTAAATATTACACATTGAAGTAGAAATAACATAAAACATTTATGTTTTAAAAATATATCTTCAAAAGTCCAGAATCAATGGAATTTTTAATAAAATTTTAAAATATATGAGTTGACTTTGACAAATTGACTTGATCTCATTGATTGGATAGGTGCTAAAAAGCAACCATCAGATTATGGATCTAAATTTTTATTTTCCTTCTTTTTTGCATTCAGGGTTTCTAATGCATACAGATTTCCAGTGACTTTTCTAACATGTTAGGAAATCAAGTTGGTGTTTGGCTTAGCCACTATGAAGGAACACTTCATCATTCAGTGTAAAATCTGTTGGCTTGCTTCATTGTTCTCTTTGGTTGCTTCCATGAATTTTACTTTGTTATTTCTGTTAATGAAATTCTCCAAGTTGTTACTTCTGTTAATGTTCAGAATTGTAAATTATTCCTTTAATGTTTTTCTTGTGGGCATATTTACTGAAGGACTTTTCTAGAAATGTAGCATTCTGATTAGCTCTCCTAAGACTGTTGACTTTGTAAATTTTGAATTTTGATTATACACTTTTGACCTGGTATGTAAAAGAATGCTTTTTAATAATTTAAGCTCTTGAAATGCTAAAAATTATATTTATCATCAATAAATGAATATGGCTATTGGATATTCAGTGAAAAGAATACATTGATATAATTGCAGTTAATTTAGTCTTTGTCTAACTTGCCAAAGATTTGTTGATCTCAGTGTTTGCTTAAAAAATGAAAGTCTATAATGAGCCATATACACTGTTGCATGCCTGTAATCTCAGTGATTTGGGAGGCTGAGGCAAGAGGATCTCAAGTTGAGGCCAGCTGCAGCAATTTAGCAAGACTCTCTGCAATATACAGAGACTCTGTCTCAAGGCACTGCTGGATTCAATCCCTAGTACCAGTGTAATTTCAATCTTTGATTTAATCATAGCAAGTATATTGTTAGTGTAAAGAATACTTATGTGAATTCTATTAAATGCTTCTTATTCTTTATTAATTATTATAGTAGTACTTATATGGTAGGTACTGCTATGTAGAAAAAGTTTTGGTTAACAGGGTTTTTCTTTTTCTTGAGGAATAATACTCTATTTTTATAGCTTTTATTATAAAGAAAAAAGGTGTGTGTGTGTGTATGTGTATGTGTGTGTGTGTGTGTGTGTGTGTGTGTGTATTATAATCTTCTTGAAGTAGAGAATAAACCAGACTTGTACTTTAGTGTCGAAAAGAGATTTTGTTTACTAGTTGAATATATGGAGTCTATTAAAACCTTTGTTCTCATTACTTACAAGTTTGATATTGCTTTTGGCATGACACTGGTTTAACTTGTTTGACCTTAAATCGACCATAATTGTGTTCTTTTCTTCTTTATTGTGGTGTAACATACATAATATAGTGTAAAATTTACATGTCGTCTTATATGTATATTTGCACATATAACTATCATCCAGATCAAAACATAAAAACTTTTATTATCCCAGAAACTTTCCTTTGCTTTCCCTCTTTCCAATCCAGTAGCCTTCCCTTGAGGTAAGCAACCTTTTAAATTCTATTGGTATAGTTAATTTTAGCTGTGCTTGGAATGTATATACATAGAATTACATAGTAAGTACTCTTTTGTATCTGACCTCTGTCATTCACTATGATGTTTTCATTCTTGAGGTGAGTATATGCATAGTTTATAATTTTTATTATTTTTTTATTGCTGAGTAATACTACATCATATGAATATACTATAAATATTTATATTCTGCCTGTAATTTTGTTAAATGAGTTTTCCAAATCTCTGGTTTCACTTGCCAACTTTTCTATGCTACTTTCTTCCTCTGTCTCTTTTATTGTTTCCTATCACCTGCAGAATAAAATGTAAGCTCTATACCATGGCATGCAATTATTTCACTATAGCTATGCCCACATTCCTAGAATTAGATGAATAAACTAAGTATGATATTTCATACTCCTGTACTAAGTATGAGTTGTTACATCCCCCCCACCCCACCCTCCTCCACTTCAATTGCTAATATTTCTTCTCTTGGCTGTCTTTTTTTTCTCAAATATTCTGTTTCAAGCATCATCTCATGAGCTTTGATGTAGTCCTGGCCATATTGCAGTAGGTTGTCTTCTTTATTAAACTGTGAGCTCTTTAAAGGTAGACACTACTCATGTCTCATTTATTTTAAAAATGCAGTGCCTGGTATACTGTGTATACTAAGTGCATATTAATAGATTAGTCACATATAAGTACTATGCACTAACTTATGGTGTCACCAGAGCTCTGAGATTGGTACATATGTAAGAAGGGAAGTTATTCATTTCCTAATAGGTGAAAAATGATGGAGGAAGAAATTGAAGAGCCATAGTCAAGAACTTTGATAGCATTTTTGATTCCTATAGCTTAGGAAGCTAGCTGCTGAAAAAAAAAATTTGGAAAATTTTGTATTATCATCATAGATATGTAATGTAATATTTATAAAAATATACTCTCTTCAGAAATGAAGCATTTAAAATTGTTAAAGCATTTTGACTGGTGATGTCATTCTGTATTTGAAATTTGGCTAGTTGGATTAGTAGACACTTGGGATTTTTATGACTGAAGCTTGATTGTCCTCTAGTAAATCCAAAGCAAGGAGAGGTTCTTCCCCTTGATGTGGGATCAATTTGTCATTTTTCCTTGATGTGGCTTCTGCTATGGCAATTGAACACAGAGTTGGAGATTGACCTCCATTTCTTGCTCTCCCTACAAGGATTTTCTTAGGTTAATTACCAAATATAGAACTTTGATTATCTTTTATTTCAACCTGGATGTGAAAGGTGTTTAGTTCTTGTGCATTTGAGGTTCAAGAGAAATTTAACTTTGAGACTACTTGATTTAACACTCTCTACTGGTTTTTTAGACTAGTTTTTCTCTTGAGAGATTGATGGATATACTATCCGCAGTTTCAGTGTCTTCCTCATCATTTGAGTTGGGCCATGAAGAAAATAATAAAAGAGTTTTGATTGGAGGATGTCTTTGGGAAAATATGAGCAGAAGGAACATGAACTAAAGTTTTTATTTCAGTTTTCAAGAATGATTTCATAAAGTAGTTTCATTTAACTCTATGTTCATCTTACCAAATTTACTGGCATTTTCTTTCTTTTTTTCTCTTTTCTTTTTGGTACTGGGAATTGAACCCAGCGGTGCTTAACCACTGAGGCATATCCCCAACCTTTTTAAAAAAATTTTTATTTATAAAAAAAAATTTTATTTTGAGATAGTTTCTCACTGGGTTGCTTAGGGCCTTAGTTGCTAAGGCTGGCTTTGAAATTGTGATCCTCGTGCCTCAGCCTCCGAGTTGTGGGATTGCAGGTGTGTGCCATACCACACCCAGCAGTCATTTTCTTAAATGTACTAAAGTTTATATTTTAATATAGCCTACACTTTTTGAACTGCATCTTGGTTCTGATTTTTCAAACTGTTTAAACAAGTCTTATTTTAAACCCATTGAAAAATAAATAATACTGTGAATGTCTTCTGTTATTTCAATGTTTTACTTAAAGGTATAAGGTTCAGAAATAATAAATGATTGGTTTGAGGTAAGGTGAATAATTGCAAAGATAGAAGTCTTCTGACTTCCTAGCTACCATTCTTTTAAGATGATATTAAAGCTAATTCTTTGAAATCTTTTAGGATCTTCTAGCTAAGCTGAGGACTGTAGTCCTCCCTGTCATAAAATCAGTGCTCAGTAAACATTTGTTTGATGTTGTATTGATTCACTTAATGTTTTATGAATTGATTATTATAGTTAAATTGGTTTTAGCTCATGCTTGCTAGCTAATTACTAGTCTGAGTAGGAAAGATGACTACATATGTAATTATAGTCTTAATGTGATTAGTGTTATGGAAGTCTGTGTTCATTAGAGGCAAGGAAATTGTGTATTTTTATTTATTGTATATATTCAAGCACCTATGACAATTCTTTACTTATACTAGACACTTAATAAATATTTATTAATGACTGAATGGAGACACTGAATGGTGGGAATCCTGGTGGAAGTGAAAAAAATAATTGTTGGGTTTCGTTCTCGAAATTAAAAGGCTCAGGGGTCACTCCAGGTAAACTGGGATAACTGGACTGCACAAAATAACCACACAAGAGACACAAATAACCCTTTTCTTTGGGGTTGCTGTGACGGCTCCTCTGACCTTAAGCACATGCTGACCCCTTTTATTGAGGAGAGGCTATTCAAATGAGGCAAGGGGTCAGGTTTCGGGGGGCTGAGTCTAGCTTCATGATGTCCACTGTCAGCAGGTTGACTGACATCTAGGTAGGCCACACCCAAGGGCATAGTAAGTAATAGAAGGGGACACACATAAGGCACTTCCATGGAACATTCTATCCTAAACAGGGCAAGGCGTTATATTACAAAGGAACAGGTGAGCATAGCTCCACCCATGGGGCTGTGAGCCCGGACACAGTCACTTGAACCCTAGAAGAATGGAGCAGTCTAGCAGCATGGGTGCCTGATGCCACATCGCCCAGTACGGGAGTTAACTCAGTCACACGTGAGGTTTGTCTCCCACAGCTAATGCCTGGAAAAAGTGACAAACTGAAATTTGGTGAACTGTTGATGATTTATCTAGATTAAAAATTTGGGGTAAGGACTTTTAGCAGGAGAAACACTCTACGCAAAGGATGAGAGGTAATAAAAAGGGAATCTTGGTGGAAGTGAAAAAATACATGATTTGAAGTATATAGAGTTGAGCATGAGTTGTGGGTGGGGAGTGACATGCTAGGGTTTTTAAAGGAATTTGGAGTAACAGCAGTGAAAAACCACCGCAGTTTAAATGTGAAGAAGTGATGCAGTTATATCCATGGGTTTTTTTGTTCCTGTGTTTTTCTTTTTTCTTTTTTTACTGACATTTATGAAACGGTCTAATAAATTCAGCTTGGATATTTTCTTCTGTAACCTGACATCACCATATCTAAATC